CACACACACACACAGACACACTCACACACTAACACACACTCGCCCCTCCACCCCCCGCGCCTGCCTCCCTCCTCGCCTCTCTTTGCAATCGCAAGAAGCGCACTCTCGCTCACACGCGCGCACTCACACACACTCACACACGGTGGAAGGAGGCGAATAATAACTCAGCCATATTTCAGCCGCCGCCGCCGCCGGGAGCCGCGGGCACAGTCCAGGGACGCGGCGAGCAGCCTGGGCGGCCGCTACGATGGTGCGTTCTCCGCGGCGCGCGTGTGTGAGCGGGAGTGTGCGGGCTGACAGCGGCGGGGCTGCACGCAACTTTGCCCCCGCGCCGGGCTGTGCGCAGGCGAGGCTCCGCAGCTGTCCGCCCGCCGCCCTGCCTTTCTGCATTTCATTTTTTGGGGGAGGTGGGAGGTACTTTGGGGCCACTTTGGCTCTTGGAAGTGTGTTGCGGGGGCTCCGTGAGGCTGGCCTCGCCGATCGCGTGGGGCTTTTCGCTGGGGGGTGCGGGGTGCCTTAAGTTATGGATGCCTCGGCGTGTTTTCCTGCGGGCGTGTGTGTGTGTGACGACGTCTCATTTTTGTTGTGGACGAACCCCGTGGTAAGAGCACGGGAGTTTGTGCCCATCAGCAGAGGCTGCCTGTAGTTTCCATTCCGCCTGGCACAGCGCTCCACACGCACGCACACACACACGTACACAAAGACTTCCTCGGCGTGTGCCTGTCGCCGCGGTACTTCCAGGGAGGGGGCTCGCCAGAAACCCACCTCGAGGTCCCAGCTACCTCCTCTCCCACGCTGGGAAACCGTCCCGGCATCGCCTCCTAATTGTCTTCTAATTTGTTTCCGATGTATTTGTTGTGCTTGTAGTAGCTGAGTGTGCTCTCCCTCTTCCCCCCGACCCCCGGACCCCCTTCCCGATTGGGGGTAACATTCCGTTACAATCGGGCCGGTGTGGCTGCGGTCCTGGGGCGCCCGGGGCTGGGGCGCCCGGGTGGGGTGTACTGGGGGGTGTGGGGTGTGCGCGCCCACGCGCGTGAAACGTGGATGCAGAGGGCACCGCCGTTTCCTTTTATGTGCGTTTCAAGAAGGAGGAAAAAAAATGTCAGGCGCAATGTTCAGTGTCGAACGGTCGCCTTCCTGTTGTTCACGGCTGTCTCTCCTCCCCCTGCCCGCAGTGTGCCGTGCAGGTGAAGCTGGAGCTGGGGCACCGCGCCCAGGTGAGGAAAAAACCCACCGTGGAGGGCTTCACCCACGACTGGATGGTGTTCGTGCGCGGCCCGGAGCACAGTAACATACAGCACTTTGTGGAGAAAGTCGTCTTCCACTTGCACGAAAGCTTTCCTAGGCCAAAAAGAGGTACGGCTCGAATACAAAAGGAGCTTGATGAAAAATGTCTTTGCTGGCGGAGGAAACAATCGCTTGGGCCGGGCGGTCCCCCTGCCCCTCTCCCCGCCCCCCGCGTCGCGCTCGCCGGCGTAGCCGCGGGACCAGGGTGCGCGGCGCCGTGCCGGCCAGGTCCGGGCTCCCGCCCGCGCGCGCGACTTGAGCTTCATGAAAGTCACCGCAGAGAAAGGACCGTCAGGTGTCGAGTGTTTATTCATCCCAAGGCAGCCCTCACCGGTCCTCGGGGGTTAGCCGTGGGTTCTGCGGGGAAGGTGCAATTAGTTGTTGGGTTTGGAGGTGTGGGGAGTGGGGCTAGAGGAAATAAACAGCTTGCGCCTTTTTTTCCTAGAGCAATTGAAATTTACCTGTTATTAGTAAAGAATGCGTGGGATGTAGTTATTCTTCCGCCTTGAGAAGTCGCCTCTCTTTAAGGGTTTTCTCTGCCTTCCTCCCTGTGGGTGAGGCATTGGGTGCCAGTTGTCATAGACTTTTCCTTTTGTGGGTTAGCCACCCCCGGCCCCACTGTCAGGATTTTATGTTTAGTTGGAGGGCTTACTCATCCCTAGCCCCCGATGGCACTTGATTGCTCATTCGATTTTGAGCAGGTTCCGAAGTGTCTGCCCGATGTGATCTGCAGGGAAGTGGGTCCCTGCAAAGGTCGAAGCTAAGTTACAGAGCAGCAGTGTTGTCTTGCCTTCTCCTTCAGTCCTTCCGCACCTTGGTTTTTAGCCTTGGTGTAGAGTTTGCATAATCCTGCTCAGGCTCTGCGGTCCCAAACATTTTCCATAAAGGACAGTTTTGAAAAAAAGAAACGGGGTGTTGTTTTCAAAGAAATTTAAAGACGGTTTGAGAAATCCCGATTTCTATTCCCTTCAGCGTCTGGAAAGCCACTGTCTGGTTGTTTTAGTTGGATTAGTGGAGGTAACAGTACAAATACAATAAGGTGCTTTGTTTGTGAGCAGGTTTATTTATCTAAGTCGACACAATGGTTAGTAGTTATCTTCCATTTGATCCGTAATCTTTATTGGCATCTAGAACTCCTGCAGTTTCTTAGAGGAACATCGTAATAAATCCATTCTGCTTAGAGCTATGTGGAAATCATTGAACATTCAGGGGCTGAATAAAGAAAGGAGAAATGCTGTATGTCTTAGAGGTGGCAGAGGTTTCTGTTGATGCTTATTTTTGTTTCCAGAGCTCCTGGAATGGGACGTAAGATTGTATGTTTTGCCTTTGGTGGTTTGTTTTATGGCTCCTCTTGAAAACTTGAACAGTTGAATTTGATGGGCTTTGCTGGATGGTTCATAAATGAATCCAGCTTCTAATAGAGGGGTAGGAATATGCATGGGCTCTAGGAAATAACATTTAGATTTTGTTAGCATTTCATATCAAAATATAGCCAGAGATATTAAACTTCATATTTCCTCAAAACTGTGAGAAGGATGAGTATTGTCAAGTTTCTGTCACTATATGAGGTTGAGTATGATGCTTCCTGGGGAATCTTGTCTCCCTTTTCATGCATCTACAGAGCCACTGCAGAGGAGTTTAAACAAAAGAAATCACCTCCTAAGATCCTTGGTACATACATATGAGACTCCTTGGCTGCTATTCACTTTGAGGTGAAATACACTTAACAAAAAAAGCAATATTTATTGTATTAGGAAAATTAAGTCAGTTGGCAGAAGGTGTAGTTCTTAAGATAACTTTGTTTAGGCTCTTTAACATAATCAACAAATTGGCATTATGAAATTAAAGATGATCAACTTCCCCATATTCCACCACTGTTTCTCTGCTTCTGTGAGTGTGTGGTGACATTCCCCTTTATTTCCCAGACTTAATGATTTTCTGTCCAGCCTGAGGGAACCTGAGGGTGCCACCCACACAACCCACACCTGGGAGTTGTTGCTAGGTGTGGTAAGCCGCTTGATAACACTGATGTCTTCTCAGATGTCTCTGGTGAGAGATGTCTGCTTGTCGGTTGGGCTCTTCCATTTTTATTCTCAACTGTGGAGTTTCTTTATGTAGTCTATAAGCCATTGTTTTAAAATGTTTATTTTTGGATTTTTATTTGTATGTGTGCTTCCCATGATGTGACAAGTCCTGGGAAAAATGCCAGCTTACATAGCCCAGGAGAGACCTTGTCGTACTGTAATTACACATGATTCAGATTGCAAGAGAAGTTTTCTCTGTTCATTGGGAATAGTTAGTTGTAAAATCAAGTAACACCAAACATGCCACTTATCTTAGGACTTACTTTTTGGCTTATAAGGTCTTTCAAAATGATAAGAATAAATACAGAATAAGAATGCCAGATATTTCTAAGTCTACTTCTGTACCTTTTAAACTGCTGTATTTGCGATATTCTAGATCTATAAGGGATAGGATTGGAAATGGGAGAAACTGCAAAAATGACTGTGAAAAATCTGAGTTAAAGATATTTAAAAGAAATGCACCTACTCTAAACTGTAAATGGCTATTAATAACAAGTTAAATCACTTTCACTGTACGGTAGCTGATAAACAGAAGTGGACCTTAGAACTGAGGATGATCTGCTCAGCCATGAAGATGGATGAGTCTTTAGTTAAATAAATCTTTGGCTTGGAAAAGTGAAATGATTTTCAGGTTGATTTCCTTCATTTCACAGTAATATTATGAGAACTCGTAGAGGAAGAAATTATAATATTTTCAACTTGTTGCCTAATGAGAATTACATATACCATTTCACAATTGAGCTAATTGGACTTGAATTAATGAGGTTTTACGTTGTCCCAAAGATGTATTGGAGACTTTCAATTTAAAACTACTAGCACAAAGTCCTAGAAAAGAGATTTTGATGAAATAGCGAAACCTGGAATATCCATTAGCCGTTACAGAATAGGCAGGTCAGAGTATAATGCATTTTAAAACTATCTACTTGCAAAAAAAGACCATATCTTATTTATTAGTCCCAAAGATTTATAATAGTCTGATGTGAATGAAATGAATAGCCACATTCAAAACATTTCATTTAAAATAGTAATGTTTTCATTTTCAGGATGATGTGAATTTGAGTGAACTTTCTTTCCAATTACAGTCATCCTTACTATTACAATCTGTTCAATTGACATTTATGATATGAAATCTGTTGCTTATTATTTTATGTAAGCTAATTTGGCCACTGGTATAATTTGATAGCTTTTTATTTGCAGCCTTAGTCCTTTGAGTGGGCAGATAAAGCATAATAAATCCACACATAACTTTCCTTTAAGTGTTTGAGCCCAGCTTTACTGTGTAGTTCTGATTTGTGTTAGTCTTCTGAAATAATTTGGATAGCTTTTTATCAGAGTATCTAAAATTTGAGAGTTTACTAGTTGAAGATATTGTGTGCACCTGGTATATTTTCTCTTCTGAGATATTTAAAAGGTTTAAGGAAAAAATAAAGTTGGTTGACTCTACTGATACGCTCAGCGAGTGCTATAAGATTTGTGTAGAGTTCTGTATGGAATTAAGATGACCAGTGAGAACAGTTTTACTATTTTGGCATTTTGAAGTGACATAAAATATAATTTTCCAAGGTACTTAAAAGCTGAATTGCTGGAGGAAATCTCATATGCTGTTAGTGAGAATGTATATTGAGCACGGACATTTTGGAGGGTATTTGGCAACATCTATTAAGATTTTAAATGTTTATGCCCTTTGACCCAGCAATTTTACTTCTAGGAATTTTCCATCAGATATGGCTTAACAACTACACAAAGATACAGCATATTTCTAGTGACTTTTTTAATAGCAAAAAATTGGAAGGAAGCCATATAGGGGACCTCAAGTGGGTACAGTTAAATGATGGTAATCTAGTAAAAAGAGGGTAAATCTATTTGTAGATGCAGGAGGATCTTCAAGAGATATTAAGCGAAATAAAGCAAGTTGCTAAATCAGTGTGATCCCATTTAAAAAAAATGTGCTTATACAGATAAAAAGTATATGTGTGCATGTGTATAAATAAATTCTGGATGAGTGGGCACCAAACTCTTACCAATAGTTTTCTTTAGTCGGTGCTTATGGTGTTGGCAGTGATGGCAGGTTATTTTTGTAGTTTGATTTTTTAAAAAAGTTAATTCTGTGTAGTTAAAGCATTCCGGTGAGCACTCATTACTTTTTAAAACTAAAAGAGAGTAAAGACCCAATAGAGAATATTGCCTTTTAAACAGGAATTAGCACGTAGCTATCTAAAAATGATCTTTAACTATCTTGGGGAGATATTGTTGCTCAGTGGTGAGGAGGAGTTAGGGTTAGGAATTACAGACTTGTATTCAAATGCTGCCTTAAGAGACCCCTTGAGTGATCATGAGCAAGTCACTTCTGTGTATGTTTTCTCATTTGTGTTACAAGAATCATGATAGAGTAGAAGCATTACCTCAAATTGAGGACTAAATATGAATCAACTATTATCAAACTTAGTGATCTTAAGACCCCTTTACACTCTTAAAAATTGAAGACTCTAAGGAGTTTTTTCTAAGTTATATCTATTAATATTTACTTTATTAGAAATTAAACCTGAGACATTTAAACAAATTACATCAACCCATTACATGTTAGCACATAAATACTATTTTAATGAAAAATAAATATTTTCTGAAACAAAAAGAAGAGAATAATGGTATCATTTTACTTTTTTTGTGTGCAAATCTCTTTAATGTTTTGTTTAATAGAAGACAACTGGATCCTCTTATGTGCTTCTGTATTCAGGCTGTTGTGTTATCACACACCATGTAGCTTCTGGAAAACTCTACTATGCACTTACGAGAGAATGAGAGTGAAAAAGGCAAATAATGTCCTAGAGTTGTTATGAAAATAGTTTTAGCTTTGCCAATACCTGGAAAAGTCTGGGGTGTCCGGACTATACTTAGAGAATTCTGATATAAAATATTCAACTCACAACCTGGCACAGATAAACTGCCCTGTTAATATGTGGAAGCTTATTTTTTTAACCATTATTA